CTTTTTGGGGGGTTACTATTGTAAATGAGGTCTTTGCAAATATTTTTACCTTTTATGTTTTATTGTTTGTATATGAAAGCTGTTGATGTCTGTTGATTTTATAATCTTGGTACTTTTCTAAATTCTCTTACTGTTTATAGTAATTTTTCCATTAATTCTTTTTGATTTTTCTGGGTATTCAATTATATCACCTGCAAATGTTGATAGTTTTCCATTTCTTAAGTCATTATTTGCTTTTTTTAGTCTAGTGTTTTTAAATCCGTGTTTAGCTGAAGTCACCTTCATTCTCTTGATCAATTTTTTTCCCAAAACTTTCCCACTCAATTACTTTGAAATAATTAAAAGTTCATGTAAGATTTCAGAAGTGATTTCACACAAGGGGCGTTAGCTATATTTTTGGTAACAGTTTTATTGAAATGTAATTTACATACCATACAGTGTAAAGATCAGAGTTTTGCAACCATCACCACAATCAGTTTTAGAACATTTTTATCACCCCCCCCCCCTCAAGGAAAACCCAGACCCTTTAGCCCTCACTTTCCTTTTTCCTCATCACTGTCAGCTCTAGACACCCATTATGATAGTTTTCTTAAACTGTATAATAAAATTTAGCTTAAAACAGCAATATATACTATCTCAGTTTTTGTGGATCAGGAACCAGGCATTGCTTAACTGGGTGCTTTTGGGTGAAGATGCCTCATGAGATTGCAGTTAAGTTGTTGGCCAGATCTTTAGTTTCATCTGAAGGCTCAATTGGAGGAGGATTCTGTTCCTTGCAGGTTGTTGGACTGAGAGCCTCCGTTCCTTGCCTATGTGTATCTGTATAGAACAACTTGCAGCATGGTAGCTGGCAAAGCAAGGGAGAAGAAGGCCCAAGGTGAACATCACAGTCTTTTTGTAGCCTAATTGCTGAGGTGACATCCTATATAATGAATAGGTAATATGCAAATTAACCCTCACACCCTCACAAGATAGCTGCCTATGACCAGGCCGGCAGGGGGGTTAGTGAGGGATGATCAAACGACTGAATATCAGGCTGCGTGGAGGGGCCGTGAGGGGCGACCAGGCCAGCAGAGGGCCAGGCTGGGAGGGTGGGGTGCAGTTAGGAGCAACCCCGGTGGGGGGCGGGGGGTAGTTGGGGGTGACCTGGCTGGCAGCAGGGGACAGTTAGGGGCAACCAGGCCAGCACGCAGAGGCAGTGAGGGATGATCAGGCCTATGGGCGGCGGTGGGTAGTTAGGGGCGACCAGGCAGGCAGGCAGGCAGGTGAGCAATTAGGAGCCAGCGGTCCAGGATTGTGAGAGGGATGTCTGACGGCCGGTCTAGGCCTGATCCCCTGAATCGGGCCTAAACTGGCAGTTGGACATCCCCCGAGGGGTCCCGGATTGGAAAAGGTGCAGGTCAGGTTGAGGGTACCCCCACTGACCCCCACCCCTCCGTGTATGAATTTCATGCACCGGGCCTCTAGTACCATCATATTTGCCATATTTTATTTCTTAGAATAAAGTCTCCAGGTTTAGTGTGTATTCAAAAGCAGGGGATTGCATGAGGGCATGAACACCAAGAGGCAGGGATCATTGGGAACCATTTTAGAAGTTGCTTCTATACAAGGATAGGATAACTCCTTTTTTTTTTTTTTTGGAAATCTTTTATTTTTTTGCTTTTTAACCCATATTCTTTTTGATGACAAGCCATCTTCTGTAGGCTTCATTAATTATCTCAGCATACTGGAATGTGGGGTTTTTAGGAAATAGTGGTGATTTTTAGGTTTCCATGTAGTCCAGAATCTATCAACCAGAGAGTCTTTAACTTGGATTTTAAAATCTAAATGTATTACACACTTACCATGCCTGTGTAACTATTAAGAGTGTGCCAAGATATTTCCAAATTTTCTTAACAGTTTGATATTTAGAAAGATTTCAGTGTCTAGTGAAAACTTGAACTTTTTCTTGTCCTCTTTAAAATTACATGTAATAGTGCCAAACACCAGTTTTCAGGTACTTCATTATAAGTGCTTGTATGTTAACACTCACCAGGCAGTTCTTTATATGCTAAAGAGTTTTTAAAATACCCTTGATGATTTGACTTGCAAATGCTTTTTTTTGAAATTAAAATAGGTCATGTATACTGTTTTGCTCTAAGTCACATTTATCCCCTTAGGGAATTCTTAATTGATTAGAGTCATACTTGCTGAGTGCTTGAAGTCTACCTCTGTCATTGTGTAGATGAGAAAATGGAGACTTAAAGAGGATATTAAATGACCACCTTAAAGTCCCTTAATTATTTATTGGGGTGGGGTGGGGGTTAGTGTTCAGGTCTTTCAACATCTGGTCCAGCTAGATTTTTTTTTTTTTAAAATATATTTTATTGATTTTTTACAGAGAGGAATGGAGAGAGATAGAGAGTTAGAAACATCGATGAGAGAGAAACATGGATCAGCCGCCTCCTGCACATCCTCCACTGGTGAAGTGCCCGCAACCCAGGTACATGCCCTTGACCGGAATCGAACCTGGGACCCTTCAGTCCGCAGGCCGACGTTCTATCCACTGAGCCAAACCGGTTTCGGCCCAGCTAGATTTTTTTAAAAAATATATTTTATTGATCTTTTACAGAGAGGAAGGGAGAGAGATAGAGAGTTAGAAACATTGATGAGAGAGAAACATCGAGCAGCTGCCTCCTGCACATCTCCTACTGGGGATGTGCCCGCAACCCAGGTATATGCCCTTGACTGGAATTGAACCTGGGACCTCTCAGTCCGCAGGCCGACGCTCTATCCCCTGACCCAAACCGGTTTCGGCAAGCTAGATTCTTCTTACATCTCAGTGACACTCTGTGAAGATTTTTATTACCTAATCAATTTCTCGTTATAGTTTTATTCTGATTTTATATTTCTTGTTTAGCCATTTTTGGTAATTTATGTCTTTTTTTTCCAGGAACTTGAACATTTTGTCTAGATTGTCTAATTTATTGTCATGAATTGTTTATAGTATTCTCTTCTAATCCTTTAATTTCTGTCCTTTTATTTTTTATTTTAGTAATCTTATTCTTTCCCTTTGATTGCTTTGAATTTAGTTCTTTTTCTAAAAATATATATTTTTTTATTGATTTCAGAGAGGAAGGGAGAGGGAGGGGGAGATGGAAACATCAGTGATGAGAGAAAATTATTGATTGGTTGCTTCCTACATGCCCCACACTTGGGGATCAAGCCCGCAACCCAGGCATGTGCCCTGACGGAAAATCAAACCATGACCTCCTGGTTCATAGGTTGATGCTCAACCACTGAACCATGCCGGCCAGGCAAATCTCCCTCTTCAAACTGATATTTTTGTTTATTTCCTTGTTACTTCCTTAATCTAAATTCTCATTTTCCCAAAACCTTCATTCTCAGGGGTGGTAACTTCCTTAGGCTAAGTCCTTGTGTCAGTAGTGAAGGCCCAAGGATCCTGATGGTCAGTTATCTTCTGAAATACACAGATTAACAACCACGGTGGCCTGACAAAGTACTGACTTTGAGAAAGTGCCAGAACCAAGGGTCTTAGAGTTTAGGCCTTCTTAATCCTAGGCCCTCCATTCTTTACAGAATGAATTTGCCTGCTCTTCTTTTTACCAAGATGTCCCAAGGAGATCCTGGGAAAGTATCTGGGGTGTGTATCTAAGGCATCCCTTGAGATAAACTTTAACTGTGCAGGTGTGGGATGTTCAAGTAGTTACTAGCGAAGAGACTACTCTACGAAAGCAGGACCAGAGAGCAGGCTTAGGACCAACAAAGACCAGGGACTTTACTTTTCTTTTTTTTTTTTTTTAATATTTTTTATTCATTTCAGAGAGGATAGAAGAGGGAGAGAGAGCGAGAAACATCAATGATGAGAGAGATTCATATATCGACTGCCTCCTGCACACTCCCCACTGGGGACCGAGCCCGCAACCCGGGCATGTGCCCTAGACCGGAATCGAACCTGGAACCCTTTGGTTTGCAGGTTGACCCTCTACCCACTGAGCCAAACCGGCCAGGGCAAGACCAGGGACTTTAATTTAAATTTTAAGCGTACGCAAAATAATTCAATTGACTGCCAGAGGAATCACACCACATGAAACATATGCAGTTGCAAATCACACAGCTTTTTCATTACACAAATTCCTGAGCTGTGGGTACAAGCTTAGTTATGGATCCCTGTGGTGCTGAGCTCACACAGCACAAGATTATGCTATCCTGTCCTGACTTTTAACTAGAACCAGTTGTAGCTTCTGCTTCCTCTTCAGAGTTGGGTGCTTTAAGTTGATAGCTGGCAACCTTGCTGGCAAAATTTATGGCGTCATAATTTAGACAACTCCCAGTTATTCACTCTCAAAGAGTGCCCCGACTTCATCTGGTTGATTCCTGATAGATTTGAGTAACCCCAGATCCCTAGGTGTCTATCAATCTCATTGTCTGGCTGTTCTTTCACTTTGGACATAGGCTCTTAAATTTCTCTTTGGAGGCCCATCTGATCGTTTTACTATTTCTCATTCAGAATTTAAGGCATGAGCTCATACATAAATTTTCTAATATAGTCTTCCAAAATTAACTTTGTATTTTCATCGTAGACTGCATTGAATGAATGATATTCTAATTCTTCCTGAGGCCACATTGGGCTAGATGGTTTTTCCTGAGCTGCTTAACTTGCACATGTATACTGATGATAAACCACTGTAATCTGAGGTTAACTGTGTTGTCGAATCCTGGTCCTTGCAATATGGAGGAGTTTAATAAACATAGAACTTAATGAAGAATGAAAGATACTATATATTTAAACCTCTGATTTCTAAAGTATTTCTACTGCAGGTAAGGATAAGTAGTGAGAAGACGGTAAACCCCTGAAAATCCTAGATTAGTAATGCATAGTAATTGTATTTTTTTCAATATTGTATTTAAAATTATTATGGCAAGATACGGAAGGTAAAAGGCACCAAATGGTTAAGAATATTTCTATTTTTGTCTCTGAGTTAAAAGTAAATTAGCTATTTTGTTTCCTTTTTTTAAATAGGGTTACACTTCATTTTGGAATGACTGTATATCATCTGGATTACGTGGCTGTATGTTAATTGAATTAGCATTAAGAGGAAGGTTACAACTAGAGGCTTGTGGAATGAGACGTAAAAGTCTATTAACGAGAAAGGTAAGAGGAGTGCTAAATAAATATATCCTTATTAAAGAGTTTGTGCTGCCTAAAATGAAGAGTTTTTCTACTAATAGCTTTCAAAAATTAAAGTGGAAGTTGATTTTAAAGTTAAATCTTTATTAAATTATGATTCTGTATCTTTTTTTCATTCTTGGTTTCCTGGTTCTTTGTGTGTAACGAGTAATGTAATTCATTGCTATGATCACTGGTCATTGCTTCTCACATATTCAAAAAGACTCCACACTTTTTTTGTTGTTAATATATTTTATTGATTTTTTACAGAGAGGAAGGGAGAGAGATAGAGAGTTAGAAACATTGATGAGAGAGAAACATCGATCGGCTGCCTCCTGCACATCTCCCAGTGGGGATGTGCCCACAACCCAGGTACATGCCCTTGACCGGAATCGAACCTGGGACCCTTCAGTCCGCAGGCCGACGCTCTATCCACTGAGCCAAACCGGCTTCGGCAAGACTCCACACTTTATTTCCTGCTTCTGAAAGCTGTAATTTGGAAAGACTTGACATAACTTTCATTGTGCTTCTTGGGGCCATTGTGTTTCAAAACTTTTTTCTTTAATAGAGTGTCCTAATGAAATCTAAAATGTTTAGGTCAGAATGGAAACTTTCTTATTTATCCTCACCTGAGGATATGTTTCTATTGATTTTATTATTTTTAATTAAATCTTTATTGTTCAGATTATTACAGTTGTTCCTCTTTTTTCCCCCCATAGCTCCCCCCCACCCGGTCCCCACCCCACCCTCTGTCCTTCCCCCGGCCACCCACTGTTCTTATCCATAGGTGTACAATTTTTGTCCAGTCTCTTCCCACCCCCCTCACACCCCTTCCCCCCCACCCAGAATAGTCAGTCCACTGCCTTTCTATGCCCCTGATTCTATTATAATCACCAGTTTATTCTGTTCATCAGATTATTTATTCACTAGATTTTTAGATTCACTTGTTGATAGATGTGTATTTGTTGTTCTTAATTTGTTTCTTTACCTTTTTCTTCTTCTTCCTCTTCTTAAAAGATCCCT